GCCTATTTGCAAAAGTACACCGATCAGCCATAACACTATGACCACTGAAAGGTGAAGTCATGGCACCTGTCAGCAGGTAAACATTTTGTCCTCAAGTTGATGTGTTAGAAGCAGTAAAAATAGGCAGCGTGAGGATTTAAGCGACTTTGACAAGGGCCACATTGTGATGTCTAGACGACTGGGTCAGAGCATCCTCAAAACTGCAGCTCTTGTGGGGTGTTCCGGGTCTGCAGTGGTCAGTACCTATCAAAAGTGCTCCGAGGAAAGAAAGGCGGTAAACTAGCGACAGGGTCATGTGCAGCCAAGGCTCATTAATGCACGTTGGGAGTGAAGGCTGTGTGGTCCGAGCCAACAGACGAGCTACTGTAGCTCAAACTGCAATAAAAGTTAATGCTGGTTCTGATAGAAAGGTGTCAGAACTCACAGTGCATCACAGTTTGTTGGTATGGGGCTGCATAACATTATGACCAGCAGGGTGCCCAGGTGGTCATAGTGTTATCGGCTGATCGGTGTATAAAGACAATGTGCCGTATTATTGCACTAATGACTGACGTGCAAAATACCAGATGTCAGCTTTGGCCTCAGTAAATACGTTCTGCAACACAATCGAGTACACTGTGAAACTACTCATTTAGCCAAGCCTAGTCCCCATACATTAACCCCGCTACAACACACCAGGGAATAAAATCACATACTGTACAATTAACAGTGTCCTGTTTACCTTTTATGCACCACTAGACACACTAAGTACAGTCACGGCAACGATGGGCCAAACTTTTTAAAGCACTCACCTCTAAATATAGTGCAGCAACTTCCCCTGTTTATCAGCTTCTCAACATGACAGTCAGGTTTTCATGAATTTTCTATTACAGCAGAGGTGAGCCAACGTTGCAAACGAAGCTCACCGCTAACATAATAAAAAAATTATTTAAACACTGACCTCCGTGCAAGAGAGCAGAGGTGCTATTTCACACTGCCAATGGCATACACGTAATGAGTGTATACATTTGTTTGGGCTTTCATCTAGATAAATTGATCATGAGATTTAGTGCGCCAGGTTCTGAGTGGCTCGCCACCGCTGCAATTTCCTAGATGTGTAAACCTTAAAAAGGATACAAATACAAAGTGTTTTTGCTGCAGATCTCACTCACTTACAAATTGCTATTAAGCACATCAGTTACCAGTACACACACACTTCCATTAAAATGCATTTAAATTACAACATTTGGAAAAGACTGCGGTCTGGTTTGAGCACAGAGTGACATACAAAAACTGCATCATGAAAGGTTGAAGAGATTACCTGCAGGACAGGTCTACCTGTCAGGCTGAGATATGGGATTATTTCCCCTGAAGTAAATCTCCACTGAAAGAAACTTGCATCTACTGCTAAATTCAATACATGTCTGGGAAACTAGCAAAACTTGGGTGTTTGGTTTAAGTAGGAATATGTTTTTCAATTAAAAGAAGTTTTGTTTTCAATTTAGGGAAGTGTACACTAGTTGAAGATTATTATTGATAATATAGCTTATATAATGCAAGCCGATGGCACAAAGGAACCAAGATATGATGAGAAAAAAGATTATTTTTATCTCATTTAGAAACTGCTTATAGTTTAGGTGTGATGTGACAGACAATACAGTCAGATAACTCACACTGAAAGGATTTAATACAGCGAACACTGCCAAACACACCAAGTTCAGCACAACAGAGCCCAACACCCGCCACTGTATAATCTGTAATCTACTCTGTGGGGATAAATCCAGCCAACCCCTGAAGAAATGGGAATATACCGTCTCTTTCTAAGTGTGAGCTGCGCAGCGGATAATTGTTACCTCAACCATATTAACACTGACCACAAATAAATAACTGAGGCTTTGAGCAGACAATGCCATGACATTTTCTGGCTATAGGTTGGCAATGAGTGCAGTAGCAGTAAACATTAAGCAGCAGCTCAACACAATAAGGAGAAAAGCAAAGCAAGGTGTGACAATAAACCTTTTCATTTGACTAGGAATATTTTTTTCTTCCATGTTTAGCTGACTAGCTATGTGACCACCTATCTTATGCACGCAAAGCCACGTTGAGTATGCCAGTATGAGTATGTTGAGGCCAATATTACAGGGAAATAACCATGTCATTGAGCTGTGTGCAAGACAACAATAATGTTTACATCTCTAAAGCCAATTTACACAATTATCTTCCACCAAGTTTGCAGTGAGCCAATGGAAAATCCCCTCAAACAGCAACAACAACCCAATTAAGGAGTAAATATGCCTCAAAACCAAATTCAGCCAATAACGCTTATAATACTCAAATAATGCCTACTCATAAGTCAAATGAATTAACAACACGAATGCATAAAAATGCACATGCCAAATGACAACCCTAAAGAAAAACCTCTGCCTGCACGAGAAGTTAATTCAGCACAAACACTGCAACATGGATCCAGTAAAAATTAGCAACAAGCAGAGCAATACCAGAGCCAACTCAGCACGACCAGCAGACTCAAACTTACTGGAACAAGTGAAGCCTGGTCCAATGCTGCCGACTTTAAAGACTTTAAACTCTGCGTCAGGCTTCCAGTTCGGTTTGAGGCCACGGCTCAAATCATTTCTCCACAAAGTCTCCTGAAAACACAGAGTAGCCGCTTGTTTAAATGCATGTATGTGAACTGTAGCTTAAATCGACCGCCATTTTTAGGGGCAGCCGGAAGAGCAGGTCATGCGTGAACACGTCACCTTCCCTCCGCCCTGATTGGTTGCTCCATTAATTGACCAGCTGTTTCTCACATGAGTTATTATGTATTATTAATTATTTTTATAAATTATTATGTGTCCTTGTCAGTCTTTAGAATATCTGTCAAGAAATTGTATTGTGTTTATTAATTATTTAATTTATTGTTTCTCTCTTTTTATTACTCTTCCAGTTTGTGTGTTATGTTGAGTTGAGTGACTAATAAATAATCTCTAAAGGATTTTTGATCCATTTAACCTGCCACATAAGGAATCCTGGTTAATAAATAGTAATAAGTCAACCTCTTAAAGGGGAATTCTAATAAATTTTCTCAAAGTCTGTTCACAAGTGTTGAGGTTAGCCTAGTCCACCTGTGAAAAAACCTCCAGTGTGTAGGAATTAGTGGCATCTGGCAGTCCCCCCACCTCCCGTCCTAGTAGAAACTATGGTGCTTGTGAAACTCGCAAACAAATGTGAAAGGCCCTGTCTAGAGCCAGTGTTTGGTTTGTCCGTTCATAATTAGGAGCAGCCAAGTGGGGAAACCCGTTCACGTTGTAATTCTGAACCAGAGATGCAGGAACTTCGGACAGATGATGTCTTCCACACAAACATGTCAACAAACATTTGGCAGAATTGCTACGAATTCACCACCACTGGCAGATCAAAACAAAATCCAGTATTAACACTAATACAATCAATTCAGCTAATTTCACCTCAATCAGTCTTTATTCAAACCCACGATTTAGGTAGTCTTGGGGCCTTTTTATGCCTTTATTAGAGATCACACAAGAAATGAGGGGAGATAGTCCCTTGCTGAAATGTAACTGGGGAATGTTGCAATTACATGGTCTGCACATTAAACCCCTCAGTCACCGGGGGTCCCAGAATGTCTTAAAATTCAAGTGGAGGCTTCATTTTATGAAGACAAATAGGTCAGGCTGGGTTTGGAGGAAATTTGTGCAAACAAACCTCTGCAATATTTCTACTTATTGATTGGTGCAGACATAAAAAAAATCAAGTAGACTCAGGTTTAAATATTTGACTCGGTGTAAACATCATAAAGCTTCAATGATCACTTCACTGAAGTTTTATGATGAACAAGCCAAGTGTGGAAAAATATGATTTTAAAGCTAGTTGGGGAAATAAAAATGAAAAACTGAATGTTAAAGGTTTAACACCCTGCTGTTGGAAGAGTTCATCGTAAAAAATCTACATAATTGAAGAGCACAAATTGCGCAGTGTTATAATTTTTTATGTCACACAAAAATGTGCACTTTCCTCAATAGTAGCCATAAAATAACTCTAAACGCCTGTTCTCTAAATAGCAACCTGCAGCACTCTAGTGTTACAACAGCTACAATCTTTGACAGTTTATGATAAAAGAGCCAAGCTTCCTTTCAAGAGAAAACCTTTTGCACTCCATCTCCCACATTTCCAAGTTAATGACAGTGTCACGCTACTCCTTGCGTTTGGCAGGCTGTTATCCACCCATCGTCTCTGAAGCGCGTAACCTCATTAGTAAGTGGACTATATGCAAGGTGTACAGAGGCTGCAAGGTTTGTAATGAATAGAGATGAGTAATGCTATTTGGTTGGATTTATTCAACAGGAAGGGAAATGGCTCTGCTTCGAGACATTTCCTGTCAAGGATAACACAATAAAGTATTTCTGTCTCTTCCACTTTTCCACTTAATATCTCACGTTTTGTCAAAATGAATTGCAGACACCTACATTCCTTATATCAGTACACCTGGAATAGCTGAAGCCTCTTGGTGGTTTGAACATTGTTGAAATTTCAGCAAGAATTGCCCTTTGACACATACGCTACGGTTTTGTGTCTGCCTACAAGAAAAAAGGATGATAATCATTCTAAAAATAAAAACAAAACATCAGACAAAACCATATTTGTTTCACAATCATACTTTATTTTGACAGAAATACAACCAGTAGACAGTGAAAACAAGAATAACAAAACTGAGAATGAGGTTTCTCTTTCACCTTGAACTGAGGTCAGCAGCTTTGTGTTTGTGTTTGCATTTGGTCGGCGAGGGTCTATAGTCCAGATCAATGAACAGCACTGACTGTCGTAATAGTAGCACCTCCCACCATAGGACCGCTCATTGATAGCACAGCACCACCTTTTGCTCCGATGTTGATGAACATTTTGCCTTTGACCTACAGTTTAACATTAAAGGTAAACACGCCTGGAGGTTATTGGTTTAACATGCAAGCAATCTGGGTGGAAGCAACTTATTAAAGAAAACAAGGCAGGTTACAAAAGGTTACAAAGCTCCAACGGAAGATTAGACAAAACACTCGTCGGATTTTTGGTTCAACCTTTATTGCTGTCTCACGCGGCTTTCTAGAAAAATATGTGACAGAGACACACTGGGAAAGAAAGAATAAGAGAAATCAAAACGGATACTGTCAAACCAAATGGAAGTAGCTTCTAAATCAAGTTCAATGTTCATTCAGCATCAACAACTAATGTCATTTAAAGTGCTTCGGATTAGAATTTTTAAAAAGCTTTATTTGCTCTTATTCATTTGCATAAAAGGTCGCTAAAAATATAGTGTAGCGTTCCCTCATCTTTTTGCTTCAAACAATATTGCACAGTATACTGGAGACAGTGCTGAATAACTGAAAACAGCAGATATTGAAGATCATGTAGCAATAAATGCAGTGACCTTGCATATTATGGAAAGAAAATCAGAATGGCTACACTACAGTGCTTTATCTGCTAACACTTTAAACTGGTAGGTGGGAATTCAGCTCTGATAAAATGACACCTGTAACACTTGAGTGGTGGATTTGAAACTGCTGTACAAGTACATGAGTGGACTGTATGAATAGAATCTGTTCCTGCTTAGACAAACAACTATACTAAAACACACGTTAAGTATAAGAGTAGAGTTACTCCAAAAGGGACAAAGGCATATGTGCAGTTTCAAGCTTTGGATTTAGCTTTTAAAACCATCACCAGGAGCAGGGAGAGGTGGCTGGGAATCAACTGCTCCTGATGATAGCCACTTGTCCAGTTGTGGACACCAACATATTATTACCTTCTAAAGTTCTACAGAAATGGCAAACGGTAGCTTTTTGAGCGTTCATTTGGAGTCATGTTTGTGTCCAATATGTCTTCTCCTTTCAGCTCTGTTTTCACTCTCCACCAACTCCTGGGGAACCTTTCTGGCTCTTTATCTGCTAAATGCTCCAATATGTCCACCAGCTAGCCAATAACTTTAGCAGTATGGTGCTGAGCAGGCCGTTTATAGTGAGCTTTAACAGCTGCCTGCTGTATCTGGAAACAATGCTGATGTGAGTGAAGCAGTAAAGCTGTGGGCTGTAAAACCAAAACAATGCGCTAAAAGGCATCCATAAAGCTGAGGGAAACTCAAGAGTTAGGTGATGATTACTTTTGGGCTTTAAAACTACAAGTTACTATAAATATGTAGACTATTTCAGCTTTGTCTTAAGTCCGAAACCGAAAGCTTGAAACTGCAAATACCCAATTTGTGCAGTAACTTTACCGTATGTTCTAAATATCAGTGGATTACCTAGTTACAAGTCAAGTATCGTGTCTCAGTTGATGTGCATCTTCACTGTATTGCAAAAAAACATTGTCATAGACAGATTATGTGTACTAGGTGCCAAAATGCATTTCTGTGCCATTCAGAGTAAAAACGTCCAACAACCTGGCCCCTTTGGTAACTTTTTTTTTTGTCCTGTTGTGCAATTCAGCTTGATAATTTGTGAGTCTTCTAGCAAAGTAAAGTGAATCAACTTCCTGCATTAGAATTGATCCAAGTTGCTGCAGAGAGTTTTCAGCCCAGTTGTGGTTTTTTATAATAGCAGAGCTAGCAAGACTGATCGGCTTGACTGCTAAACTGAGCAGGGACATTGATTTGCAGAAAGGGAATACAGCACAGGGAGAGAAGGATGGCACTGCCCTGCTTTCCCTGGCATGGGTTTGCCTTTGGCCTGTGGGCAGACACATCTCTTTCTCTCACACTCACACACGCACAAACACACACTTTCCAAGAGAGAAACACTGGCAGCCAGAAGTGTCTAGAGACACGCACACACACACAGAAACAGGCACACAAACACACACAGCGGGCCACATTGATTTCCTGTTTGGCATTACTAAGCAGTGAGTGACACAGCTGAGGGGAACGGGCTATTCTCTGTGCACACAAACAAACATGCTATGTATTCTGCCTCCCTCTCCTCTCTTATGCACACCTTCACAATATTATATAGACAAACATTCACGAGCAGAAAAGTCTGCCAGAAACAGCTCATCCCAATCATAGCGCCTTCACTATCCCATCTCTAGATCTCGTATTCTACGCTCCTCCACCTCCGTCTTATTGTCTCTTTCTCTGCATCTTTCTCATGCTCTGAATGAATCTTTCTTTCTTTCTTTCTTTCCTTTAAATGAAATGGGTTTTTCTTGGCTTCGCGCAGCAGTTTTGACTGCTTGGCTGGCTTGGCACAATGTTGAAGTATCCGACAGGTAAACATGTTTTATCAGCCACATGGATCAACTCTCACAAAGACACAAGCCTCTGTCCATTTCCAGGGTAATCTAGAGACGGCCATCTTTTTTTTTTTGGCAACACTAGGCAGATGGATCAATGTGCACTCGGAGAGCTCATTTTGTGTGAGCTACCAAAACAACAGAAACACACCTTTACGCGCTTTATTAGGAAATTCAAAGAGTGTGTGTACGTAGGTGCACTTGTGTGACTACTGGAAAGTGAGTATGCGTTCCCTCTGAGTTTCATGTCTCTTTGAGTTTTGTCAGAGTTGCTGTGTATGTGCGTCCCTGTAGCTTGTGTGCCCGGATGTGTATGTGCGTGATATGTGTGTGTGTGTGTGTCTCTCTCTCTCTCTCTCACTCTGTCTATGTAGGGTGCATTATTGGACGCAGTAGACCGGACAGTGCCAGAGGCGTACACCAAGTGGTCACGCGGCGTGACAGAGAAGAGAGCAGAGTTGCTGTCAGAAGGCCTTTTTAACACACTGCTGCTTTTCCGTTCGGGGACATTTCGGGAGCGTTTGTCTGCAAAAGGGGCTCCGCAAAAGGAGAGATAACACAATTCTCCAAAACTCCCAAAGAAACACCACTAAAGCCCCGAAGGCTCCCTACCTGAAAATACCGCACTAATACCTTTGATGTTCCCAAAGAGATGTGCAAGAGAGCGAGAGGAGGAGAGAGACGGGTGGGGAAACAGCTCAAACACACACATACACCAGGCAGCAGCTTCACATGTCTAATGAATACCTGTTAGCTGATGCCTCCATGTGCATGTCATTGAGGGGGATAGATCAAGGAAGTCAGCACGCACTGTGAAAATTTCCCTCTTAACAAGTTTTTTTTAATTGACCCCGAAATGATTTTTTCTCAAACCAAACATTACTTTCGTCAACCTGAATTCAACTTGTTAAATTTTCTTACACACATTGTGATGTCAAATGAGGCAGATTTCTCAAGTTTTTTTTTTTTTTTCACTTTTCTGTGTTTAAACACATTAATTTGCACTAGAAGAAAAAATTAATTTTCTCACATTACTGGTAGATTTTAGTCTTACAGTAAAGAAAGAACCTCCCCACTCTACAATGTTTTCTATCTTATAATGTGTGCGGCTTTGCGCATGGATGAGTGAGCCTACATTGTACCTGAGCACACTTCAGTGCTTAAGTTTTCCGCTACATTATGAAAGCTACTTCCTCACTACTGTATGTCCTAATTATATCTTCACCACCAGCATGCTATTATTTTTTTAAAAGCCTATATTTCCATCTGAGTTGCATTTCTACAGGAGGTCTGTGACCCCTTTTGTTAATATGTGCAGGGTTCAAAGGTTTACTCGGGATGTCAGCATAGTAAAGTGAACCAGAAACATGTATGCACCTACAGTGTGGAGCTGCTTTGCTCTTTGTCCCTCACATTCACACACACAAACACACAGACACAGACACAGACACACACACACACACACACAAACACACAGACACACACCACACACACCTACACACACCTACACACGCTGACACACACTTACACACACATATTTTATGCTGGCTGTGACAGCTCCAGAGCACTCTGACGAATTTGCTTTCCAGTCTCTAGTCCCCACTCCACTTCTACTGTTTGTTTTTTTCTTTCGTTCCCACTTCTTGTTTTTGCCTCCACCTTCCCTTGGGCCTTCTATTACACTGCAAAGGTCACATTTATGTCACCTCCACGTTTAAAAGCCAAATGCACGTGTGTGTCAGAGGGCGCGGCTGTGTGACGACAAGTGAACTTAGACTTTAAAATGTAATAATAGCCAGCAGGTATTCCAAGAGAACACATAACGCTGACTTCTCTGAATGGTAACACTCTTTCTCTTCCATCAGCAGCTTTCATATGCATGTGCAAGGCTAGTAAACTGGACATTTATACATTTCTTCTTTCATTAATTCCTTCAATCTGTAAACTTTCATATACCACTATCAGAGTTGTTCTGATACTAATACCTACAGTGGAAATGCCTCTGGTCTCTGCGGAGTACGTGTCTGTGCACCGATCTGATACCATGTTATTTATCAGCCCCCCAAAACGGGACTCTGCTACTTCCCAACAGTGTCCTTTTGCCTTGTTTTCCCAGGATGGTGAAGTCACCCTAACCAATCCAACCAATCCAAACCAACATGGCTACTACTGGAGAAGAGTTGATTTCCAGTAGTGTAATGTTAGCCAGAGCTAGCTAAAGTGTCAAACTGGATATAAAATAAAATAAAGTTCTGTGGGATTCATTTTCTATATGTATTTGTTCATGTTTTACAAAGGTTTTAACCTAACCCAGAACATACAACAATGGTAGCAATCATACATGGTTAGTAGTATACAGCTGTTAAATAATAATAATAATAATAATATTTATATGTTTTTAACACACTTGTATCAGATCAGTATTTTTTAAAGATCTGTATCAGAATCTGTATCGGGAAGGAAAAAGTGGTATCGGAACATCTCTAACCGCTACGGTTTGTTGTGAACATAAGATCCTTAGTCAGTCAATCAGTCAGGCTGGAGCTGCACATGCTAATTAGAAACAGTACAGCAGTTACAATACCAATGTCATGGACACAGGCAGTCCCTGAATGGTTCACGTGCGTTAATGAGCTTAGTGTTCCTTTGACACTCAAACAGTGAAACAATGACACTGATATAATGACTGGGGAGAGAAGGGGATGAATATCAATGTCATAGTGATTCCGGTTTTAACTTTTGATGGTTGGGTTTAAGCTCCTCAGGGAATCTTTGGCTTGGGGAGGTATGAGTGGCTCAAAGGGATCAGGATCTTGGCTGACCCAGGGTCTTTGAACGTCCCCTGGTTGGGCTCCTCCAGGCTGCAGTTGGTGCCCCGTGGATCCCTGCAAGGTTCTGATGCTCTGCGAGGCTGAAAGAGCGAAGTGCGACACAGACTTCGAGCCTGCACCTGGGGTCCAGTATTAAAACAGGGAAGGCCTCTAGTCGGCGGGGGCAGCTGCTTGGTCCGGTTAGCCAGAGGCCCTAAGGAACCCCCTGGTTTCAGAGAGGCAAAGCCGCCGGTGCCCCCTGGCTTGAGTGCAGGGAGAGACACGCGCTTGTGAAGGCGAGGAGGCTGCAGCATGCGTGGACAAGTCGAACCAGCAGATCTAGGAGGGATAGAGTTCTGCAGTATCACAGCGGGGGCTTTCCACTCGTGCTGGGCTGCAGACTGAGCTGCTGATGCTGGTCTGACTCTGGCATTTACCCCCTGTGGAGCCCCAGAGCCTTGGTGGTGCAGGTGAGTGCTGAGGGGACGACTCAGCTTGTCTGCTGGCCCAGACACATCTGCAGTAAGGTTTTCAAGAGGATGGTCAGCATCTATACGGGTTCCTTCCTCTAGTCCGCTTCTTGTGAGGTCATTGTGGCCCTCGGTGGGGGGAGTTTTTACTAGTCTTCCCTGGTGGAGGTGCTCGCTGAGGCAGGGGTTGAAAGGCTGTAGTATTTGAGGCTGCAGAGAAGAAGAAATATGTGTCAGTAACTTTTTAAAAATGGGTATAAAATAGTCATGGAACTGTCTGTTTATAATTAGGTGGGAGTTGTTTTTATCGTGTTCCAGAAATGGCTGGTTTTAAAAATTTCCCCTCTTTTAGTTTCTTTGATCCCTGTGGATTCTAAGCTTTCTGGATATTTTACGGCCGCAAAGGAAAATTCCGAATCAGAAAGCCAACTGAAAATTCTTTCAGAGAAAGCCTTTCTTTGACTTGTTTATTTACTTCTTAATATCACAGCCTGTTTCCACCGCCAGTCGCTGAACTATTCCTAGAATGGGAGAGGCAAAGTCACACAGGAAGCCCTGATTCAGCACTTAAAAACAAGCAGAGGAGAATAACCTTGCCATGTGAGTGCTTGGAATCCACTGAAGTCTTTGGAGTCATTTTGTGATCGCTGCTGCAGAGGGGCTTCAAAACATTCAAACCCAGAGCTATGATGCCTGCTGCCAGTGTAAGAACGTGCTGAGCCGCTAACCACATGGAATTTAGACCAACCATGGTGTTGTCCTCCACTAGGGGACATAGGGGGTATGAACACAAAATCGTGAACACCTGTAAAATCTAATGCAACCCTACAACAATTACTGTTTTAGTGAGACTCATTATGTTCAATATTTGTTGTGTTAGAGAGCTGCTTATTATGCAGTATGACAAAACAACAAAACTACGGCTTCAAAAAAAAGTTGAATCAACACCTCTCTGGCACGGACTTAACAAAAACTCATTATGACTTAACAGAGTTAGCATTTGTTTCAGCACGCCTGTCCACTCTTTGCTTTACTGAGTTTGGGCTGAAGAATTCAGATTCTAAATACTTTCTGCATCACAGCTTCACTTTAAATAAAAAAAAGGTAGATAGTTTTGCTTTTGCACTAGGCACAGCCATATACCCGGATGATGTATACTTTCATGAAATAAAAGAAGAAGTATTCTGGAACACATTTCCAAATAAGCAGCAGAGTACAAGCCAAACAGTGCTTACTAGTCCAGACAACCACCAGCAAGAGCAGAGTTGCTCAGATCAGACAAAAGTCAATATTGGGCTATATATGAATATCTTAAACAGTACTAGAGTACATTTTCTGAATACCTTATGACTTCAATGTCTATAAAAATCTATTTATATTATTTCTTATGTTAGCCTGCTTGAAATTGATTCTGTAAGGAATACTGATGGCCTTACTTTTTACCATGAGAAATCAGAGGGCTGGCCTTTTTCCATCAATGCCCTTTGAGCAGGACCTAAAGAATCTAAATCCACCTGGAACCGTCTCCAGCTACAAAAAAATCATGAGCTCCGTCTTAGCAGAAACATACCCACTGTGAGTTGGAAGTTAAATGATCTCAGAGGTTCTGCCTTTTTCTACCATCAGTCATTTGTATAGTGAGTGGGAGTAGTTGTCCGAGGCCACAGCTCCATCTCCTGGTCCCCTGCCACAATGCATCCAGTAGCCTATTACAAAACCCTCGTCCACCTCTCTCGGTGTTGCATGTTTTTAAATCAAGGAAATACTGTTTTTAGATTTCAAGGTTTGTCATTTAAAAACTCCTGAATAAAGAATGTTTCTGTTGCTTTTTACAATAGCTCTGATTAGTCTGCCACTTAAATCATGTTATTAAATCTCTTTTCAGCTTTGGAGAGTATCTGTCTGAATACTCTCTGCTGACTCCCAAAGTTCAAAACTAAATAAAGGGCTTTGTTCCAATCCACAAATTACAGGTGCCACCAAAGTAAACAAAGTAGACATTATTAATATAATCTTATTTTAAACATACCGTTACTGAAGCAAAACAAGTGAAATCATTGTCATGAGACTATCAGTAATAAACAGTATGGTATCTTTAATAGCGAGGCTTGTAATGAGTACGTATATTGATAGCTGGCCAGCTGGAAGATGCCTCTGTCAGTGATAGCAGCATGCAGTATCTACAATACAGGGTCACAGTCAATAATTATTTGCATCTACAGCTGTCTGCTACAGTACTAATAATTAGCAGCAATCATTTTGAGCTCTTCGCTGCACTGCCAAGAAGTAAATATCTCAGCTCACTAATGATAGCTATCACTTCCACAGAAAAACACCAGTCTAACCAAGAAACGAGCCAATTTAAGGGCACCTGCGAGGTGTCAGGACCCACCAGAACCAACGTCCTTTCCAGCGTCTCTCAACGTGAAAATGGCTGTGCGATTAGAAAAGAAACATGCAAGCAATTGAATAAGGATTTAAATAGTCCCCCTTTTTATGTCTGTGAGAAGACAATGTGATACGCAGCACATACGCAGGTGAGAGTGGCAATATGGTGGCACTCCATTTCAAAGCTACATTAGATTCCCTAGTATCATTTAATGTAAGGGGGTTGTGTAAATGGTAATTTGGATTGTGTTTGAATTGAAGTCTTGGAAATAGTGCGAGAGCAGAGGAAGCGTGATTAAAGATAGATTTGTCTTTTGCTTGCTGTGCTGCTTTTGACCGGGGAGCTAGAATGGAAGGGATTGCTCAGGACAGCAGTAATATGCATTCACGTCCAATAACACGGGGTATGCTTAAATGTTATTCCTTTCAAAAACCCTTCATCCGAATCCTTCAATGTGAACATATAAAACGATGTTCAATGAACACAATCTAGAAAAACAAATACACACAGAGAGCTTTACCAATGCATGCACAACATTTTTATACACTTAATTTGATAGGATGGAACAAATTAAAATGTATAATTGAGAATAACAAAAACAAGTTAAAACTATAAAAAGAATATAACAAAGAATATGTAAATGAAATATGAAAAAGATAACAAATTACCATAACTAAAAGAGTATCCTCTATTGAGAAGTGCAGACCAAAGTAAGATACACAAGATCAAAATTCCAAAACAACTGAAAATCCAACAGAAAACATGCAAACTCAGATGTAGAAGGGCATGCTTCTGTCATGTCACTTGAAGCCAAACCCCAGCCCAGCGTGCAGGAGGTTGACTACATGTTAAAGAAAGAGTTACTGTACCACGCTGTGTCATAGAAGTACTGCACTAGGTGCTCCACTCCTTGTCATAGGCATTATGTGTGTAGGGGGGGTAAAGGTAGAAGAGAGAGAATATGGGAGATTCAATTACCACTTTATGAGTGATACACAACAGAGAAGAGATGAGGAGGAAAAAAAGGGTTAAAATACGGGGAGAGAGGCTGAAGTGAGAGAGAGGATAGGAAGGGGTACAAACATGTAAGACAGACACTTGTTGGGGTTCATTTGAAATGAAGAATTAACACTCAGCCAATGCTTGCAAGAAAAGATCATGGATTAGCTCAGCAAACAAACACATTTAATACAAAATATACATTTGCTAAATACGTTTTATTTTCTATTCTGAAGACCTTTCTTATCAGCAAGAAAACTTTACAGGTTAGTCAGCCAGGGCTCCCAGTGGGGTGTCAGATCATTAGTGGTCACATCTGGTGTTTCTCATCTTATATCTAAATATGACTGCATGCCAGCTGTACCATAGTATGTTTCAGTGACATTACCTCTTTCCTCCCAGTGTTTTTCTGCCACTGTACAGGCATTCTTTTTATACTGTTTTGCTTAATTAGACCATGTGCTTTGACTGAATGCTGGGCTGTACTCACATATTTGTCAAAATAAGTCTGTAAACACACACTGCACTTGATATTGAAAGAGTACAGAGATGTACTAAAAAAACATTTTTTTTCACCTTTCCCTCACGGTACAACGCTGAGCCCCACTGGGATAGATCAAAGGAACAAAGCGTGGGATCTTCTCTTTGTTTCCATCTTTATTTTTTATTTTTTGCTCTTCACTCTCTCACATACACACATTTTCTGTAGCCTATTTACCTGCTGCCATTCTCTTTACCCCTCCTTTCATACTTGCTACCTCATCAGCACAATACAAAAGCTTTGTTGTTGAAATTCACTGAGCTAGGTGAGGTTCTTGTGACTGCGCTGTCATTGTTTCTGCAGTCCTGTCTTTCTCAATGAAGTCAAACTGTTTAAGTCCACAGAAAAAAATGCTTCAAAATTCAGTTTCAGCAAAGATCAGGTTGTGGTCATGTTTACTATTTTCTCAAGAACACATGATACGTACTCTGTTAGAGGAGCTATTATTCTATCATCTTGACACCATCCCTACTGCAAATATGGTGTATATATTATTTTTGAATGAATGTCTACAAACGGAGAGAGGAGTTAAGTCAGGATTAGAAATAGAGGTATCTGCGGGTTTTAGAAAGTCGACAAAATAGCCAGTTTTTTACTGAACAAAGCTAATAGAGTGGAACTGAAGCTATAAGCACCTGATAATTAATTGTTAAGGGACAGAAGTCAGACTGTGTTTAGTAAAACAAACAAGGAAAAACTATTTTGCACGGTACTAATCTTGTTAGAAATTAATCTAAAAGTAGACATACAGCATAAATGGTCCTGTAATTGCACAGTGAAAAAAAGCATGCTATTAACTGGAACAAAGATATTTCAGTCATTTGGAGGATTTTAATTGGGGATAAAGTTAAACTTTTTCAGGCTATTTACAGGGCCCTGGACATATTGTGCTATGAAATGATAGAGTAGAGGTTGCAAAGGATGTTAGTGACTCACTCTGTCTGCGCTGGGGCATGCTGGTACGGGTCAAGCCCTGGTGCTGTGCCTGCCACGGGGACAGCATTGGGGTGGGCAGCACACCCTACGCAGAGAAAAACACAAAGGACAAAAGGCATGACATACCAGAACACACACACACAGAGATGCATGCTAACACAGAAAACACACACCCACAGACACAAACACATTGTTAATACGTATTCATAGCCCAGTTGACACGGCCCACAAAAACACACCAGAAACATGCACATGTATACTGACACGCAGAGAGTGTGTCACCATTCATATTAATATATGTTAATGAGACAAAATAAAGCCCTTAACATCACGTCTCCCTCTTTTAGTTCCCCTTAAGGAGCTATTTGGTTATAAATACTCTTATCTCACACTGTCTGATAATATCATGTTTTGTATTGGCTTGTTCCAACTGTTAATTGAAGCTACATTATAAATGATGTTGAAATAAAGTAAGATCTTGGGCCTATGTTTATATGGCAGCATTATTCATTAAAATGGAAATATTCTCTATGTCTTGCACAATGTTTGGCTGCACACTGATTTCAAACAAAAAATTTATTTATATGGAATGTTTAAAAATGGTAACCACACCCATGTATATATACTAATAAGCTGGTGATTAGTTTAAATAAATGTGTTGTTTGACATAGTGTACTCTAATTTCCAATAGCCTTACACCTACATGTGATGTGCATACGACAGAGATCTTCTTCTTAACTATGTTTGGCTGAACATCATGAGTTTGTGATAACAGGGCCACCGGTGGGTCAGTGGGAAGAGGTTAAAAACAGCGTGACACTGAGAAAAGTTCAACACATAAACACACACACACACACACACACACACAGAGTAGTGTATATATTTATAAGTTCTCCACCCCATAAATATATTAAGCTATTGTTAATAGGAAATTGTTAAGTTCTCAAACACAAACATGAAGCTAATCATTATTTTTCACACCTTCAGCCCCTATAATGTGTATATTTGCTATTTTAGAGTTTCTAAAACTATCTATTGTAGTCATCATCCTATAAAACATCCACTACCTAGAGACTTCCAGTGTTTTCTCTCCCTGGGCCACAGACATTTTTTCCTCCTACTTATTAATTGTTTTACTTTTTATATAACTAAAGAGTCAGATCCATTATCAACCATCCCCAGTGCCTAGCAGCCTGCAGTCCATTGTAGAACACTCCATCATAGGCAGTGCAAAAACAAAATGACACTGAAAAGGTTAACATTTTTCACAGGTGAACCAAACAAACAATACAACTTTTCCAGCCATCACTTTGAAAATTGACAGTTTTATAATCTTGAAAGGAAAGTGAATTCGATATCCACTTGAATATGCCTTCTTTTTTTAGTACATCAGTCTTGGCTAGGATGATAAATTAACACTTACTTAACACAGTGTAATTAGTTACTGAAAGTGGCAAATCCATAAGTGTTTAAACACGGCATCTGAAGCACAATGTGACAGCTGAAATGATGTTAGTAGGGCCTTTGTGACAGTTTTACATAAACTGTATATTTCAGCCCATTTTCTTACCACATCTGCTGTCTATATGCTCTACTTTCTCTTTTTGTTGCAAAATGCATTCTGTTGTCTAAACGTTTTGTTTGGCCAGCATCTGTATCTCTGCACAAAAACATGTACTTGAAAGAATACAAGCTCTTCACTTGATACTAAACCAACCTTCACCTTAAGCAATTCAAGATTGCTGACCCCCATCGGAGAGGCAAAGTGAAGAGGCAGCAGGGCCATCACGTTAAGCACACAGACAGACTAAAACCTTATTAAATGCTACTCCTTTCTTCAGCTGTGGAGAGGGCCACTGCTCAAATAGGACTCTAATATAGAAGAGAGGAGTACCAAATCTGTCAGAGGGAAGAAGAAACAGAGAGAGAGAGAGATAGAAGATGAAAAGGGGAGGGCAACTTCCCAGCAGGCCCAGCCCAGGCTATTTCAGTGCCCTCCTAGTGCGACTTCTGGAGGGGGGAGAAATGAGTTTCCCTGATCTCCTCTCGTCCATGTCCTTCCTTGAACACCAACAACTGTGTCAGCGGGAAGTCTCGGCAGAAGTCTCCCGTCGAGGCTTCATTTGCAGAGAGTAAAACCTTAGGCGATGAGAACAAAAGGGTATGTTGGAGCTCTCGAACGATTCTGACAGTGTCTGGCAGCTTTATTAGACCTCCGCAGCAGCTTAGCCTGTCAATTTTTTACAGTTTTCCATCGCTGTAAAGGCTCTCCAATGAAGGGCTGACAGAGCTTCACAAGGGCAAGGAGACAGAAATTGAGAAAATACAAAAAAATTTCATATTCCATCAATTTCATCAAAACTTCTTTTTCATTTCTCGCCCACCAGAGCAGAGATCCTGGGTTTGATGCTTGGTAGTGGAAAGGAATCCAGGGTTCTCTATCTCTAGCCCTCATGGCTCTGTCTGGTTGGTCCTGCCTGCACAGTTAGAGTGAACTTTGGCCCTGCCACTGGAGAGGGAATAACCTAAATTACATGAACGGTGCAATAATCAACCAGAAACGTAAAACATGACTCTTGCTCCCTCATCAGGACAGTAACGAGAAGCCCCTCACAGTTCCAAGGGGCTATTTCTCTCCAGGTAGTTGTTTCACAATGAGTATTGGCTGCCCTTGAGTCTGGAGCGTGGCAAGTTTTCACGGGTCTCTTATATATGGGGTTTCAAATCATGCAGCTGGTTGTTGGAGGGCTTAAAAAATCCAGTAATCGCGCTCTACACAAAGGAAAGCTGTAGCTCATGAGCACAACAGGTAAGTTATGTTTAGAGAGAACACGAGCTTTCACACCTTTGACCTTGATAGTCGCCTCTGGGCTCCGCGCCATTTGGTGAGAATCCTATAATCTAACATCATATGAAACACAGGAGACTATAATGAAGCCTTCCTTGCAATCCACATATCTATAATTTGTATTATTAATATAAAATGAGCAGTTGTGTTTAGAAATATCATTCTCCTCAAAGAAGAATAAAATACACATCGAGTAATGGAAACAGTCACTAGGAGGCCGCTCGGCTCAGATAACTGACGCCATATGCCTCATCTCTGGATTGTAACTGTAAAGCCAAAGGTTGGTCTTGTACTACTTTTTGCAGGTTCGGTTCTACGTAAAGTGCAGCAAGGACAAGCAGATTGCGGTAGAGACAAAACATAGAAACAATGGCCGAGCCTATTTCTAATAAGCTAGCGACAGGGCAACTAGATTTAAGATAAGGCACAAGTCAGATCTACGTTGTATTCTCAAGATCTTGTATTTTGGTCCATTGAAATTTGTCGACGATATAACAATGCGAAGATTTCTGGGTAAAGCAAAATAAAAACAAACAGTTTAGAATAAACCCATAATGCTGTGCCAGCGCGACAAGGCGGATGTTGGGCTGTTTATAGCTGGCCTCTCGCGCGGCCGACGCTGCGCGATCTACTTTGAACAATCTCACTGGAATTTCCACTTGAGCAACAGACTGATATACTAGCTAGATCTCGCTACCTGTGCCTAATAACCTTATAAATAGAACGGAATAATAATATTTTCCTTCATTAAACCATTCACAAATTTCAAATTTAGTCCAAGGTATATAACAACGACCAGCACAATGTCTTCTAATTCAATTTCACCTATAGTGTATCTGTGCCAATAAATCCTTCCAATCCCTGTCCAAGTAACCACTCTGCTCGCTCGCATTGTGTAATTATTACAGATGACGCTCGCGCAACTCGTGTAAAACTTGTTCAATGTCCGGATGTGTGTGTGGTTCAGTGGAACGATCTCGTGATGCAATGAACGGTGTGTCTCTCAAGGAATTGGTGAGTTAACGGAAACGAACTGACCGCATACATGTCAGATTCTTGGACGAGGGGAAAACTTGTTTTTCAACCTAAAGCTTAAACAACTGATCACTACGCCTTCTCAAACCCTCCGGTTCTCCCTTCCTTTTCCTCTTCAATACGCTGCTTGTTTGTCCACAAGATAGAAAGCAGAAGAATTAGATCTGATACTGCGTATGCGAGTGTAATGTATAGTGTAGAAGAAGACACAAATCTGACATGCGCTCTTCGTCTTTCTTCAAAGAGGGCCTGCAGAGGGAGTATTTTTTTTCGCCGTTTTTGGGCTTTTAAATGGGAGCTCACACAATCAGGATCCAGTTTTTCACTGTTTCTACGACCCGATCTGTAACATGTACAGTATATAACACTGCCTCCCAAAAACAAATATTCTCCATTCATTTTTTCATTATGACATTGCTGTACATGTGGGCACACAGGACCGAACCAAAACCATAATGCCAATGGATTTCAAAAAAAGGGAAAATAACAAGCGGGAAGATAATTTAACAACCCATTAAAAAGCAAGAACCGTAATCTGTTGACATCTAACAGCTGGCAAGCTGGAGCTTGTACAACTGGTAATGTCAAAGGAGGTACAGACCACTTGACACAGTTAGAGCTTGAAGGGATTCAAAGAAGATTATAATAAGTCAGTTAAAAGACAAGATAAATATCGTGGAATGTTGGTAGGGCTTAAAATAACTAGAGGCACGAAGAGGAAAGAAATCTCCAAACCATGAAGCAAGAAAGACAAAAGAACAAAATAATTGCATGGTATTCATCTTTGGCTTTAACGTTGAATTTGCAGAGAGGCCTGATAGATTATAATAGTCAAGCGGAAGGAGTTGATACGTTTTTGACTTTGGATATATGGTACCTGTCTCTAGGGCTCGGCAGCACTAAATGTTAAATGGAGGTGTGAGGTAAGAAGAAGCGATGAAGAAGAGGATGTTTAAAAGGCAGAGAGCGAGTAGGAGGGTAGCCGTAATTATCTTTTCTGACTGCCACTGATGAAACACTGCCTATTGTGTTGCCATTGTTTCACTGCTGCTGCTCATCTGCCTGTTTGTTTATCTGGGTTATTAACAAGGTCGGCTCCCAAGTCTTTACTCTGCTGAACTCATTGTTCAGTCACACTGAGTGTGCCCTGCACTTGAGTATAGGAGATACACGAGGCACATCCCACTCACACGCACAAACATATGCAGACAATCAGGGTTTCTCACATGCACATGTAAAAAAAACAAACCAAAAAAAACACAAACACAAACACAAGGTGGCATACGTTTCTAGTGTGCTACATTTGAAATGACTAAAATTATACAGCTCATGTTTTATTTGTAGCTAAAGGCAGAGGAGGCAGAGAAAACATTTGAGCTGCTGTGATCGCTCTGGGGATCTATTCAAGAACATCATTTTTCTACAAGTGACATTTAAGCAGTTTCCACAATAGATGTGGGTCTTACTGCAACAAGTGTGTCCAAAATTTGTCGGCATCTTGTACACTGACAGACACATACTCATACCATACTGCGAGACTTATTTTTTTCTGAGCATGCTTTTGGACTCAAAATTGGATTGTAAGCAGATTAAAATGGGAAGCTGCAGGAGCTGGTGCCCAAAACAGTTGGTTAGGATATGTTGCCAAAGCCTTCCTACGGACTGTGAAGTTAGGAGACGAGTACATCCCTGGTCTCCACAAAGGAGGAATCGATTAAAGCAGCCTGTAGAGCAATAGCTGAAAATGTTTTGGTTCATGAGAGAAAATGTTGGCGAAGGGCTCGTTTGAGGAGAATTTATCAACATCTCGAAGATGCTGCAAGAATAATAAACTGTAGACTGACAAGTAAATGTACTTAAATAGCCCTATCCAAGGGTCATAGGTCACAAGCTTACTTTTTTGTCATACTCTTAATCTGAGTTTAAAGCACAGTCCATGCTCAAGTTGTTGCCAGTACCTCAACTCTAGACCTCCCAGTATCGGGCTGTAAATTTTACCCTTTGGGCTCATGATAAGGCAACTAAATATCAGCATTAAAGCTATAAAAAGATTATAGCTACTGGCCTTTGACATCAAAACTATTCTTGGCTGATCCTCAACACTCAAAAATACTATCAGAGGGCAAGAGCTACTCCAGAGCTCTGATACCGCGGCACATTAAATGTCAGAGGAGAAGAAAATCCACAGAAAAGGGCATTTCAGAGAGCAAGAGAAAAAAAACACAAAAAAAAGATGACAAGATTATGAATTTGTGCGTGTCTGTGTGTGATGAGAAGCACTGAAAAGTGAAATAAAGAGACTCAAATGTGCAAGTGGTGAAAAAGAAAATAATATTTGCGCAAAAAACAGAAAGGGTTACAGAGAATAGACAAAGAGAAGTAAAAGCGAAGCATTGTATGAGCAACACTGTGAACCTCAGCTTGCTGAAGGTGCGACACCAAGAGCTTTGATACCATCTAAAAGTAAGAAAAACAGAAAAAGAAACATCCCTTTCTCTCTGTTATTTGTTTACTCTTGGCTCTTATTTCTTGTTACATTGTCAAAAAATACAGCAAAAAACTTGCAGTTTACCTTTCAGAGCAACTGCGAGCTCTGAAAAAGTAAAATGTCACTAACATAATGTGTTTGTGCCCACAGTGCTGCAAAACACAGGGCAGGAAATAGTCTCCACTTCGGCGACGATGATGTAGATTAAAGTAGAACAAAAAAGGCTAGTGAACAAAGAAATATTTAAAAACAGTAAACTGCAGTAAACAGCATAGAGGGAGAAGCACAAACTCAATCTTGCCGTTTCAGTGTGTTATTAAACACCAGGTACTGCAGGTCACAGGTAGATGTTCCCAGCATGGAGATTATTCCGATTGAGGACAGCTAGCCCTGCTTTGATGGTTGCCATAGCGACTGTTAAACCATATGCTCTTGTGGAAAGCAGGGACCTACTGTTAGTAAGCTTGCCTGTTTTGTCCTTTATTTTTTCCTCAGTAACACTGGAAATCTCATTCATTCACTCACTCTTTTTTAAATTCTGTTCTTTTCTCTATGTAGTCCCATTATACTGTTTTCCTCTTTGTGTGTGTGAGTGTGTGTCACCTTTTTACCTGAGAGCAAGTCAATTAGGGTAGTGTTTACTATGCACCCTGCCTGTGGCACTCCTGCTATTGAATCAATATTTGGCTGCCACACAGCATGCTATTATGGCATGATACTGAACACGTATCTATCCATCTCTTACCTTTCTCTCTCTCCGTATCACTCTCTCTACTTCCAACCTCCCATGCATCTTCCCCTCCTTACTATGGTATATCTTTGCTTTCTCCATCACTTGAACATTAACACCAGCCCGTCTTCAGAGTGAGATGTGGGTAATAAGAGTGTGAATTAGTGACAAGCCCACTGACAACCTAATAAACTGTATTCCATAGAGAGGACATGGTGTAGTCATCTAACAATTCAGACAAGGCTGGCCAGAGAGAGGCAGCAGATAAATAGGAAATCGGCTGACTAAATTCGGTGGACTGACTCAGGAACATATTGCATGTATGCACTTTGTCACCAGCGTATCCCAATGGGAATGTTACACTAAGATGCACACTAGTGCTATTTTTTTACATTTATTATCTTGATAATTGTTAAAATAAGGTGAAACGGTATTTTAATTTTATGCTTAAACAGTTTCAGATTTTTAGAAATCCTTTGTTGAAAAACAAAGGTTGAAAGTGTGCACTTGTCAGGAGCGCTGTTATGGGTGATGTAAATGTTTGTACTCACAGCGTGACTCGGTGGTCTCCAGTATGTCTGGGTGGCCTTGTCATAGTGATGCTGCATCCGTTTGTCCATCTGTCTTTCGTTCTGTCGTAGTGAAGAGGGAGCCCTCTGGTGGTGGCACTGACACCGGAACTGTCGGCCTTGAGCAGGCTGAGGAGGCATGAATACATGAATCAGTGAAAGAAAGCTTTTTTTTTTTTACACAATAACCGAATGCTGTTATTCATTTTCTTTTTAACCTAGGCCATACTTTCCTACTTTTACAGTTATCCTGGTTAAGAGCATGTAGATTACTTATCAAATCAAACATGGCAAAGAAAAACTATAAAGAGCAAAATACAAAAGTACTGAAAGGCCCTTTTAACACTTTTTAACACCCATTAACACCCAAGTTGACCCATCTCAGTTCAACTTTTTTAATTGTAAATGACTTGAAACTTAAAACCTACTACTGCTGGATAATAAGTCATGAAGCCCGCCTAACTGGTTATAAGTATGT